ATAATGTTTTAAAAATTCAAACTTCTTTTCCCTACTGATGTTTGAGGAATTTATTGGCTTGTTAGTCTGTTTTTCCTTTACTATGAGTAACCCTTTGGCTGTTTTTCCACTGGAAACAATTTGCTTATAATCCTTGTGGCATATAGTTCTCTAGTTTTTAAAATATATCTTTAGCAATTTTACAGTAATTTTTTTTCACTATTCAGCTTTTCATTTCAGGCAAGTGTCTGAAATCCCAGATGGTACATGGGTTTTTACCTTGGCTGTGACCATAGAGGGACAGCAGTGGCTATCGGGATGGATGAGCTGCCATATATATGGAAAGACACAAAATGACCACTTGTAAGCAATTGTGACTACAGGAGAAGGCCAGTGGCTTTGTAATGCTGTTGTTGATCCTAGGTAGTCATCAAATATTTGCAGCTTGTTTTATAATTTTTTTCCACTGATTAGCTACTTGGATGATCAGCTAGATAGCAGTTAAATGTTCCTGTTTTTTTTAAAAAAACAAATGATTATTTTTAATGTGTCAGGTTTCAACATTTACAATTTAATTCTTCTTCAATTTTTTTTTTTTAATCCCTGGTGCTGGGAATTGAACCCAGGGCCTCCTGCATGTCAGGCAAATGCTCTACCACTAAGTCACATCCCAAGTTCATTTTTGTGTATGGTATGGATTAAGGATCTTAATTGACTTTTTTCTAACAAGTGTACAAATTTTTCTAAACCATTTATTGAATTAGTTGTTCTTTCCTTGTTATCCATTAAGTTTTTCTCTCCCAGCATTTGCTTCTGGGAAATGGACTCTTTTCCAATGAGTAAATGCTTTACTCTTGGGCCAGTATCACAGAATGTTAATTCCTATAGATCTTGTTGGGCCAGCTCTCCTTCATTACTCATTCACTCAAATTTTCCCTTTTCTTCTTTATTCTTCCTTGGAAACTTGTGTTTCCCTGTGAGTCACAAAGTCCTTTATGAGACTGTGATCCTGCCATTTGACAAGGAGTAGAAAGAATTCTGACAAAATGTCAGCAAAGATCTGGCTTAAAAAAAGAAGAAGAAGAAGAAGAAGAAGAAGAAGGAAGAAGAAGATGTTTCTGGGAAGAGGCTGCAATTCTGTTTCAGAGGGTGGACGTAGGCAGAAGCTGAGGTGGAGTGAAGTTTGTTGGAAATATTGCTCAATGGGACATTTTGCTTTCTTAATTCTGAGTTCCATTGGCTGCTGGCTCTCTTCCTTCATTTATCTTGCACATTTCCTGGCTACCATCTTAGAAAAGTATTTTCTGTGTGTCTTGTCAAGTTCCTCAAACTTTGTTTAATTACTTCTGGGTTGTCTCCTACTTCTAGTTTAGCACTGCCCATTAGATATTTCTCTGATGATGAAATGTTCCACAATCTGTTCTCTCATACAGATCCTTAAACTCATGTGGCTATTGAGCATTTGAAATATGTCTAATGCAAATGAACAACTAAATTTTACTTTAACTTTAGTTTTTTAAGTTTAAGGGAAACAGCTAAGCGTGACTAGAGGCTATCAAGTTAGTAAACATGGTGAGAATTTGATCTGTATCCCAACCACAGTCCCCAGGTCCTACAAAGAACTACCATAGAACCCACCAAAGAGCTCAAGCATCTCAATCAAAATAGCAGAGCGAAGCCCTGAGGTCAGGGAGTGATTGGAGTAAGACTTATACTATCAGGAGTACAGGGTTGAATTAAAGAATAATGATTTTCCATGCATGTGTAGGTCATTAATTTAAGAGGGAAGGATACAGACAGAGACCAATTGTGCCAGAATAACACACATGCCCACACAAACTTCATTATTTGCACTACCCACAGATGCCCTTACCCACTGTTTCCATTACCCTCTTCCATTTCTTCCCCATCTCAATGAAATCTGGCTTCTCCTCCAATCTCCTTAAGAAACAGACTTCATCGACCCAGTAGCTAAATCATAAAGATTTGGATTGACCTCCCAGCAGGGTTTGACCTGCCAATCATTCCCTCCTTGAAATATTGTTTGAGAGCTGATGGGATCTTATGACCCATTTTCCTTCACACTGTCCTCAGAGCACACTCCATCCTCATGGCTCTATTTTCCCCACACTTTCTTGATGTGGTCCCAACTGTTCCCAAATCTGTTTTTCCTTCCTGTTCCCTCTTTTGAAGTCAAGCTGAATGTTCAGCTGAGACTCTTTACCTCCAGCGGGCAACCTCGAAACAAACACATCCCTCTGAGGACAGACTCCTTCCTTCGTTGTGGCCCACCCACATGCAGCACCCTCTGTGTCTCATTGACTCCAAGTGAACACAGCTGGGTTTGCCATAGTCCTCTGTCTTTTCTGCTCTCGAAGCTGGAGGCATCATGGGTCTCTGGTTGCTATGATGTGAATATGTCCCCTCCAAAATCATGTTGAAACTTAATCCGAAAAGCAATGGCATTAAGAAGTAGAGCCTATAAGAGATGATGAGGCTACGGTGGTATGCCCATGGGAATGAAGTAGGGCCTTATAAAAGAGCTGCAGGGAACCCTCTAGACACTCTTGCCCTTCCACCTTCCACCATGTGAGGACACAGTGAAAGATGATATCTTGAACTTTTCTGCACTTACTTTGGATCCTCTGCAGGTCCTCATTCCTCTCTGTTCCCACATCTGGATGCACAGTATTGCTCTGTCCTTGACTACAGCCTGCCCTGCTTCAGGCTCTATGGCCTGATTTGGAGCACAGGTGCCTGTAGACTCCAAAGAAGCATGTACCTCCTTCCATGGCACCCTGCCCTCACCCAGAGGCCATCATAGTCTCTAACACTTTTCAGAAATTCCTGTTGCATTTAGGAAGAAATCAACTCCTCCACAAAGCCTCAGGCTGTGCAGGATCTGGACTCTACCTGGGTGGCCATCACTTTAATACTCTGCCTTCCTCATTGATCTTCTACCTCAAGGCCCCAGGGAACCCAGAATCTAGCCCCACTTCCACACCTCCTGGCCCCACTGTTCTGCAGGGCCCTTTCCTGGAAAGTCCTTCCTCACAGGCGAACTAAGGAGTTAAACTCACTGCTACTCATACCCTGAAACCAGGATTCCTCCAAGATGGGCAGTCAGTCCCCTGTCGACTCTAGTTGGTTTATTTAGGGAAACGTTCATGGTTCATCTTTCCTTCTTAGGTGTTATTCATTGGATATGATTTGGTTTGATTCAGAGATAAGCAATCATTACAGAGTAGTTATTTAATATCCACATGATTTTTCTGTGGTTCTAAGATGCTTCATATGTTTATAACCCAGGGCATATTATGACAGGAATGACTTGTAAATGACATTTACAAGAAAATCTTTTCAAATTCAATAAAACTCCTTGACACAACAATATCTAAGGCATTACAATTAATAATTCCCGGTGCTGAGATGGTTCTGAGTACACTTGCTCCTCCTAATACACCCAGCTGATGGCTGTCCCTGGCTATTCACAGGCCACCCGCCTGTAATGCCACTCTGGTACCTCCTGGGCATTGCGGGTACAGGTGAGAATGCCTGAGTGGAGATGTCAAGTGACTTCTCCTAGCAAAACACAGCAAAAACGGGAAAAACAAATCATCTCTTCAACCTAGGTTTTGAGATTCTAAATCTAGTTGTTTTCCAACTGCACAAATCACCACTATTTTCATATACTGAATTCACATTTTAGATTCTCTCTCTTTATATTAAAAAAAAAAAACTACCACAAGTGAAAGATTCTATAAATGGCAGATAAGTGTGAATGTATATATATATATATATATATATATATATATATGTAAAACACCACAAATAATGCACCCTCAAATATTAGCAACTAATTGCACGTAGAAGATAAATCTGTTTTATGTCAAAAGAACAGCTTATTTCTGGTAACTAAAAGAGAAACATCTAATATTCATGTCATAATTATTTTATGTAATTTAAGATGTATTGACAAAATAATTTTATAGAGTCTTATGTTTGCTTATGTTTTAAAATTCAAATGGGAATCTTTTCATTGTGTGAATTCTTAATTCTTAAGGGTCCCCTTCATTCATGTGGAGGAGGGAAGTAGGTTGACTTAATTCAAATTTAACCTTAAGTTTGAAGTCAATAAAAATATCACAACTAAAAATTTAGAAAGTTTTAATCAAGATTTTTATAACATCCTTGAGTCCTTTTGAAATTAGTTCCCCCCACCCACCCCCAAGTGGACTTGAACAGATAACTATGCAAGCTCTTACCAGAATAGAAATAGCAGACGCTCACACAGAGGGTGCCTGTGGACAGGAATCTCAGAAGGCAGATCTAAGGATTGTTGAAGGATCTGAGATCCATGGTTGCCTAGCCTGGGTTCAGACACTAGGTCCAACCCTGGGGCAGCTGTACCCAGTCCTGTAGCAAGTGTAAGGAAAGATTAATTCTCCTTGGGGGGGGGCATCACTTCTTGCTGGGTGCGACTCCCTTCGCCTGTAGCTGAGAAACTTTCAATTTGCCAAAACCTTGCACACAACATTTTCATTTATCCTGAAACTAAATCAGTTTGGGGCTAAACATATTTTAAAATGTCAGCCTACTTATTTGGTCCACAGGATGAGAAATGCAAGATTCTCAGAAAATGCCATGTTTGGTTTGGATTTTGTCCTGGAATATGGAATGGAACAAATGTTAATCCTCCTGGGATTCTATGAGGATGAGAGGAGAGAGCGGGAGTGAAAGCCAGGGGTGAGTGCTGATATGCTGCGTTGCACTAAGTGTCACGACTGTCATTATTTATTATCACTGTCTTTAGTACAATAATCAGAGTGCATGGCCACAGATATGTTAAAATTAGAAGGTTCAGAATCTTAAAAAATTAAATCTTTCTCAGAATACACAATTCGAGGAGCCCGTATAAACACTTGCATTGAATAAAAAAAAAGTAAGGAAAAAAAAATTGACCATTCTTCAATACTGTTGTACTCCTCGAAGAGTCAAAATATGTAGTTGGTCAGTCAGTAAGGAACCTTCCCAGCTATCGCCACACTGAGACAAGAGGCCAGGATACCGATTGATGGCAGGAGGACACACATTTCCATTTGGACCTTTCTCCTTCTGTTCTGGTTTGGGACCATCCACTGAGGTCTCGTATACATACTTTGTACTGAGCATAACTTGAACTTAATGAAGATGAGACATGAGCTCATGAGGCCTGGTTGAACCTGTTAAGGCAGGCTGATCATACTCAGCTGGGGAGAAGCTGGCAAATTCAGAGTTCACTAAATTTATAACAGTGGCTTTTTTTTTTCTGTTATCACAAGCAATTGTTGCACAATGTATTTTATGTTTAGTTCCCTCATAGTATTTTTCAGTAAAAGAAGAAAAAAAGGTATTCTTACGTGAAACTATATTTGAATTTGCTTTCCATGCCTTTTTTTGACTTGTAGCAGCTTGGTTTATGGGATGGAAGCCTCTTAAATTTGACAGAAAACCAAATTTGTAAATATGTGATTTCCTCCATACAGCTAGGAGAGAATCGCTTGACTGGGAAAGTCAGGACAGACATGCTCAAAAGGCTGAGTCCCTGAGTGTGGCTGGCAGTCTTCAGAGCTAGCAGACGTTCGCAAGTATTTGTGCAAACCCCTCTCTTGTAGCAGGAGGGCCAGAGGCTGGAGCTCTACCTGCCTGCTCAGGAGGGGTCAAGGCTACTGACAACCACCAGCAAGCAGGAGGAAGTAACAAGCAGAGTGTCCTGACCAGAATTAGGGACAGGGTGGATTTTGTGAATTTAGTGAGACATTGATAAAAATAATTGGCAGAGTGAGACAACGTAATCAGGAGAAATGTGTGTTTATGAGACAGAGGTAGATACAGAATGAGTGATTTATTTGTTTCTTTATTTCCTTATTATTTATTTTTTCTTAATTGGCTTGCTATACAAAATGATGTTTTGATATATGTATATCTTTAGTACCTAAATTAAGCTAATTAGCATATTTTACTTTACCTAATTAATTTTTTTGTGGGAAGAACACTTAAGATCTACTTCCTTAGCAACCTTCAAGAATACGATATATTATTATCAACTAAGTAACCCCTGAGGTTTACACAACCATACTTTCCATCATGTGCAGAATTAGAATAATAGCAAATGCCCGCTTACCTCATACTTTGTGAGGGTCAAATAAAATTAGGTGTCATAGACTCTGTGAAACAATTCAAGTGTTAATTATTATTAATTATCAGTACATAACTAAGATGAGCCATTTAGTTTTAGATTTAGGACTTGATTAGTCAACTCAGGTCGTAGAGAAAGATAATGTAAATAAGGAGAGAGACTGTATCTACAAGGAAGACTGAACAATGGTGAGTTTAAACGGTTGTGGATGTTTTGATGGACTGTTGTAGGGTCTTGGTCAGCTTTTTCTCCACTGTGACCAAAAGACCTGACAATAGCAACAAGGAGAGGAGGAAAAGTTTATTTGGTATGTATGGTTTCAGAGGTCTCAGTCCAGTCAGCCAACTGCATACCTCTGGGCCCAAGGCAAGACAGAAAATCATGGCAGAAGGAAGAAACCAGTAACCAGGAAGCAGACAGCTCAGCTCAATAGGGACAAAATATATACCCCAAAGGCATGTCTCCACCCACCTCCTCCAGCAACAACCTAACTATCTACAGTTACAGCCCAGTTAATCCCTACCAGGGACTCAGTGCACTGATAGGTTAAAGTTCTTATAACCCAATAATTTCACCTCTGAATTTTCTTGCATTGTCTCATACATGAGCTTCTGGGAGACACCTCATATCTAAACCTTAACATATGATGATATCTTGGTTTCTAAATTCACTTCTCTGGATTTGGAACATGTGGGGCTGCACTACTTTGCTTTCATGGCTAGACACAGGAGCCAGCTCTTATCTGTTAGTTATTATAATTATACCAGGAAAATCTGGTGATCAGCTTGCTGTGGGAATCCTAAAAATGCTCTCATTGTTCGGATAGAGAACAGTCTCCTGGCACCTCCAGAAAGACACTACGCACATAGCATTTAGAGTGTGTTCAAATTTACTTCCAAACTTCCTAATTCTGAAACAGTAATAATTTGTGTCACACGAGTCAGATGTGCTTGTATTTTACTCATAATGCCAAGTAGAATCTTGCCATTGTAACTAAGAAGGCCTAGAAGAGAATATTAACTAGACTAATGCGTCATTCTGAGCCCAATTCCTGAGATCCTTCTCTTTTAGAATCGTCTATCATCTCTGGTATGTCCCAGGACCTATCATGCTTGAATGTGGTTTACCTAAACAGGAAGAATTTAGCTCCTTCCCTACATAGTAGGCTATTTTTGTTTCAAACTTTGAAGTATGGAGAGCTTCCACTTGATTCAAGGAATTCTGCAGACTGGGAAAGCATATACGATGCACCATGCTGTAAATCTCTGTGAAGCCTCCACAGGGAGGGAGTGTGTGATCTACACAAACACAACACAGAAGGCTTCTAACCAGGCAGAGGAGATTAGGCCCCGAAGTAAACAGAGAGGCGGTAGCATCCCCAGCCAGGCTGGCTGTCCTTTCCCAGCAAGTTTGCCAACAGATTTAACTCTTGGTGTCTCACGGCTCCGCAGCAGACGATCTATCAGGGACACACCCAGGAGGTCACACATCCATCTGTATTTAGTCCTGTTCAGTACAGACGGAACTAGACACTGGATTCCAGGCACACCTACTGCATCTTCTGTTCTCACTTGAAGGGCTCTCAGGTTCTGAGCACATAAGGCAAACTCAGGATGATACAAGATATACCACGCTCTGTGGTCTCAATATGGTTGCCCTGGATCTCTGTGCTAGATTGTTCCTCATTTAAAAGAAAAACATTTCCCTCTGAAGTAAGGATTTCTATTCAGAAACACCCTCCTTTCATCTGTCTTCTAGGTCCTGCTTGAGGAAAGCGCACACAGCTGAGCCCCAAGGGAGATGAGGGAAGGGGCATGCAGGGGTCCGTGAGATGTCAAAGTCATGCTTATCCTTTGGCAGTTTTCTGCACTAGAAAGTAAGGAAAGCAGAAACTAGAGCCATGTTTTAAATATATGCTCTTTCTTCCATAGTCTTTCCCCCGTCTTGATCCTACAGTGTCTTCTTTAAAGTAAATTATAGCTTGCAACCAAAATGGTTTGATTTATGGGGTCCTTGGGAAAAATTCCCCTCCATAAAATGTTCTCCTTTGAAGGCCTACCTTGGTTTCCAAAATATTCACCAATGGGTGAAACAGTGTAATATTAAAAGAGAAAATTTCTTAAAGATAGAGATCTTAATACCAACTACTAGTGTCCCATTTTGAATCAGTTTTACAGAAAATCAGCTATTTCAACTACAAAGGTACATATCATCGTGTCTTGAGAGAAAAGTGGTCATGAGGCACTGTCTGAGAAGAGGGTCCTTCAGTGGGGCTCTATGTGCAGCCAACAAATGGCTTCCTCTCCTCTGTCACCTTAATCAGTGCTACTCCTATAGGGAATAATGGGATTTCGGGACAAAACGGCTTGAGACTATACGAGAGTGATAGAAATATAGTAAAAAACACTTGAGATCTCTTGACTCTGGGTTTAATGCCCTTCAGCCTTACTGTCTTTTAAAGAACACTAGCTGAAATGAAGTTTTCAGAGCTAAAATTAAAAAAAATACAAACATAATTCTGGGACTATGGTTCAAGGGTAGAGGACTTGGCTCATTTGCACAAGGCCCTGGGCTTCGATCCCCAGAATAATTCCCCTCCCATGTAAATACACACACCCCCACTTTCTCTCTTTTCCTGAGATGAATAAGGTTTCTTCTCCAACTTTCTCATCTACCCATCTACACTAAAGGGACAAACCCCAAGCCAAGCAGAAAGAAAATGGCAGTTTCTATTAGGGGAAGAAGAAAGTATTCCTCAGGAGAGACTTAGAAAGTCTTCTGCTTGGGGAAATTTTGACTCACACATTGGTTGTTGTAATTTTAATTTTTCTGCATGAAAACTTCTCAGACCTAAGACGTAAAACCTTCACAGAGTGTATTTATAAACAACTGCTAGTAGCTTAAATTTTATGTTCCTGCCACATGCTTGCAGTTGCTCACATTTTTATAAGAAATATGCCACTGGTCTCCCACTCTGGCAACTAAGAAAGCTACCTTATGAATATCTGTTTGTGGGAAAATATCTATTGTGCTCGGCTGAAAAGTAGCATTTTTTTGTTCTAATCAATGTCAGCAGCCAACCCATGGAGAGTAACAATATATAAAAAGTGTCAAAGATTTGGCTCCAATAACTTAATTAATTTAGTCCATTTGGGAGTAGATGACAAGGCTTTTTTTTTTTTTAATCATAAACCTTCACTGATCCTCTTAAAATAGCACTGACACAAGTGGAAGTTATTTAAACTGATAGCAGATAAAGTTGTGGTTCAGGTTAAGAGATCTGAACCAATTCAGGCCATAATCAGCATTAAGCCATCCCAATTGAACGATGCTCACATGTATTAATAGCAAACAAATCCAGGCTTTGCCTTTTATTTGGGGAATTAAAGTCATCAGTATTGACTTTTCAAACCGTTTTTCTTCGTCTCCTTGGAACGAGCTTCAGGTTTCCTTTGCTGAACTCAACAAAGATGCAACCCAGAGTATGAGAACAGGCAGATTAGATTTTGAAAAAAAAAAAAAAACTAAACAAAACATTGAGCCTGACGAGTAGTCAGAGATGTTCAGTGACAGCCAACATGTTGATCTCATGTGCCTTCCTAATTGGCCAAAACTGCTTGGAGTAAGACTGCCCTCAAGATGTGCTCTCTTCCCCCAGGGTGCTCTCTAGCCTGAGTCCTTGCAGCTGGTTGGATGCCCAGGCCAGATGTACTGAGGAGGCAGGGATTCCTGCTTCTCAGCAGCTAATGTCCCCAGTTCCCCTCTACCTCCTCCTCACCCCAACAATCTAAAAGTTTATATTATTTCATGTTAAGCATAGTCAATTCTTTAAAAATATAATCACATAACATTATTATGCTTGACTAAATTGATAGCATTTGGTTTGTAAATAATTCAGTCTGTCTCTACAACATACACCTTCTCCTTTTAATATATAACCACAATTCCATTATCACACCTAGGAA